GTGAAGTCCAAAGTCTTATCTTCGAGGACGGTGATTTGAAAGGTGCCAATACTGCAGACGGAAAAGAACACAGAGCGGATCGAACGATTCTTGCTGTTGGTGCATCAGCGGAGCGATTTCTCGACTTTGAAAATCAGATACGGCCCACAGCCTGGACTATAGGTCATATCCAGATGACACCTGAAGAAACCCAGCTATACAAAAATCTCCCGGTTCTTTTCAACATTGGCAAGGGTTTCTTCATGGAACCTGACGAGGATCTCCATCAGCTCAAGATGTGTGATGAACACCCCGGCTACGTCAACTGGGTGCAAAAGCCTGGAGCCAAGTTTCCTCGATCCATCCCCTTCGCCAAGCATCAAGTTCCTCTCGAGTCCGAACATCGTATGCGAGATTTTCTGAGAGATATCATGCCACAACTCGCAGATAGACCACTTGTTCATGCTCGACTCTGCTGGTGTGCTGATACCTATGACAGACACTTTCTCATCACATATCATCCACGACATCCTTCGCTAGTTGTTGCTTCAGGAGATCGCGGTATAGGATACAAGCACATCACATCTATTGGCAACTTTATCTCTGACCGTATGGAGAATACATTGGAAGAGAGATTTGCCAAGGTTTGGAGATGGAGGCCGGAGAAGTTTATTGCGTTTTGGGGTAAGGATTCTTTGGAACGACTTGGGGCTGATCACAGTATCATGGATCTTCCACGGAGTGAGGATGAAGGATGGACAGATATCAGTGAGAGTGATCTTATTCTCTAAACGGATTAAAATAGTTGTGTAGGCTCTATCCTCTTCTACAAGTCAGGCGGTTACGATTAAAGAGATGTTTCTAATGAGTAAGAATTTTGATACATTCTATTCCGCTTGCAAATCAGCAAATATTTTTCTTTGTTTAACAAATGTGCATAGAGGTGAAGTTTCAATTGACAAAATAAAGTATCCTATCCCATATCGTCGGTGACCAAGATGTGCCTCAAAATCTCGGCGACACATCCGAAGTTGCGGGGTTCTTAGCCGAGTCTTGAGTCACAGCTTAAAAATGATACCAAACATATCATCACCGCAAAGCATTACCAAACACTTGAACCAAACAACCAAGACACATTGAGTGTATACTGAGATGGCATCTCCTCAAATTGGCTGGATTGGTGCGTTTTACCCACTACTGTCGCAGACACTCAAAGCTAATTGTACATTACAGGCCTTGGCTCGATGGGACTCCCCATGGCAACAAACCTTCAGAAACATCTAAGTTCCACTAGGGCTCCAAATCTGATTTATTTCAATCGAACTATCTCTCGTGGTGATTCTCTGAAAGGCATTGGTGCTCAGCCCGCATCATCAGCTACAGATCTTGTCGATAACTCGGATATTATCTTCATGTCTTTAAGCGACGACTCTGCCCTCGAGTCAACTCTAAATACTATTCTCGACTCAGAAGACTCAGGAAACCTCGCTGGTAAGCTCATAGTTGACACATCAACTGTTCATCCAGACTCTTCCGCAAAGGCAGAGACTAGGATCCAAGAGAAAGGGGGACAGTTTATCGCCTCGCCAGTTTTTGGAGCAAGTCCTGTTGCAGCACAGGGAAAGCTCTTGTGGATTATTGCCGGGCCAAATGCTTCTGTTGATAAAGTCACTCCATACGTTGAAGGGGTTATGGGAAGAGCTGTTATCAGGGTCGGTGAGGATATCAGAGCGTCTGGTAAAATGAAGACGGCAGGGTAAGTGACAATCCCTCTTATTTCATTCCCTCTAACGACTAGATTAGAAACTTTATCACAGCTGGTTTCATGGAAATCATTGCCGAAGCACACGTCCTAGCTGAAAAGTCGGGTCTAGGCAGTGGGAACCTAGAAGCGTTGATCGAGCAGCAATATGGGCCTCTACCATTCTCAATGTCTCAGCGTTTGACAACTGGAGCATACATGCCAGCCAGAGGTGTCAGACCTTGGTCTGATTTGAACTTGGCAATCAAAGACGTGGGTCATGGAATTGCTCTCGCAGAACAGTCTGGAACAAAATTGGAAGTGGCAGAAGTTGCTATTAAGCATTTGAAGGATGCAAAGAAGTTCTCTGATTCTGAGCAACGACCGCTTGATTCATCTTCCATGTACGGAATACTACGAAAAGAGGCTGGACTGCCTTTTGAGACGGAATTGGTCAAGGATCGGGATGCGAAGGACGGGAAATAATCTTGGACTGTATCAGTCCGTATATAGTATTCATAAATTAACTTCAGTCCCCAGTGGCTAATCGTACGACATTGCATGCCGAGTCATTAAATCGTTTATATATAAAAACGGGTATCGCATGGTTGTGAACTCAAAGGGCGGCTTTGCCTCTAGACTCGAATGGCATAAGTAGCACGAGGAGCCCGGCGGCTATGAAAAGAGCACCGCTCGTATATACAGGAGCAGATGTCTCCAGGTTTGCAAAGATCGCAATAATAGGCTATAATTATTAGTGAAAGTGGACAGTGAAAGGTTTGAAATACTTACAGCCATGATGCCAAAGATTCGGTTGCAAGAAGCACACAAGGCATTGCCTGTTCCACGATGAGGCGTGGGAAACAGCTCTGGTGTAAAAGAGTAGAGAACAGCGTACATGATGTTACTGAAAAAGTTGAAAGCGCACTGCCAGCCCAGTAGAGCACCGCTAGTCGTGGCAGTTGTTGAACAGTAGAGGAAGACACCAGTGAGAACAGTGCTAGCTGACAGTGTTCCCTTTCGTCCCAGTTTAGGTAGTTCAACAAGCCATCCCCCTAGCAAAGCACCTGGTACACCGAGAACAGCAATAATTAGACTGTTTCGGTAGGTGATATATGTGCTTCCATCACCAAAGTCGGCTCCTTTGGTTGCTTGGATATATGGGATGAAGGCATTGTAGAGAGGATATCCGAGGCCGATAAGAGCCCATACGGACATAATGAGCCCAGTGCTAAGACCAAGCTTCCTTGTTACGAAAAGAGCTTTGATGTGAGATATGTCGACTTTCTCGAGATATCGTTTCAAGGCCGCGCTTGCATCTGTCTGAGCGACGTATCCCTCTGGTTCGCAAGCTTTGAGATCCTCTAAAGTGAGTGTAGAAGTTTTTCCGTTCTTCTTTGCAACTGTGTGCATAACTTTGACGGCCTCTTCGTCTCTTCCCTTGCTCATGAGATACTTTGGCGACTCGTAAATCTTGAATAGTAAAAAACGGGCAAGAAACATGAGGAGGGTTAGGCCACCAATGGTGATTGTAAAGTAACGCCATCCCATATTGTCCTTGCGTCGACATACAGTGTCTTGCTGGCATGTGTAGTTTCCCAAAAGCGGCCATGCGATCAAGGTACCAATAACCTGAGCGATAGCCCAGTCGATCGAAAGAATGGTGAGAAGATATTGATGCGAAGCAGGCAGAAACTCGAGGAAAATGGCCGAGTCGACAGGTAAATTACCTCCAACACCGAAAGACCAGAGGGCGTCAAAAATGGCGATGGCAGCGAAGTTGGGGGCGCTGGCTGATATCAAGCCCCAAACAGCCGTTAAACCTAGAGTGATGTTGAAAGCCCATTTGCGGCCAAACACATCACAGCCGAAGCCCCAAAACATGGCACCAGCCAACAGACCAATGTTCTGCGCAAGGGGGAGAAAAGGCGGATTGCTTACGCCAAACTCATTCGCCACGGGTGTCAAGATGAGAGAGGTAACGATCGGCCAGAGATTATCGCTCGCCCAACCAAAACCTATCACAATAAACAATTCCCATTGATATCTTCCCATTCCTATCTCACTCACAGCACGGTTGAGAATCCGTGCCTTGGCCTCGTAGACGGGATCGAGTGCGCCTTTGGGGATGATTGCTTCATCTTCTGCTGCGTCGACAAGACTGCTTCTCCTCGCATCGCCATTGTGGTCAATTGCGCCATATGCCTTTCTGGCTTCGGATTCTTTGTCTGGAGTGGTAGACATGCTCATCCTTGACGACTTGTCGGATGGTGATGAGTTTGGGATTAAGAGACTGTGCGTCTCGGAACTCGAAGCGTCCTCCATGGGGGGTGGACGGCACCCTTTATGTATACGAAAAGAAAAGAGAAAGGACTGATTCATCAGTGGCTTGATTGTGTATGATAGTGAGACGATGTTGTGAGAGAGTAACAGGGCAACTGTAGAATCTGTTCAACTCCCCGCGTTGCAAAGGTTGGTAGGGTCGATGGCACAATCCCACGCTTGGGCAGCATTGATTGGGTAGACTGTCTTACATGGATCCTAGTGATGATCCATCCCGCTTTATGGCGTCACTAGGTGTGTCATGGACCAGGATTGGCAAGCAAAGATTTTGCTTTGAGGGACATGTTTTTGCTAGTCAAGAGCACAGCTTTATAGTTATGAGCAAACATACCAGGTGCATATGTCCAGAGGAAAGCAACAATATGTGCATAAATAAACAAGAGTGATGATACCCATATCTCAACTGTTGATCACTGGATATTTCACCCACACCAACCCCGTCGTCCGACTCCCCGCATCCGTTGGAAGCCACAACGAAAGTCCGGAAATTTAGTTTGTGGCACCTTCTCTACAGGGAAATGATCGATAAAACATCAATCACATCACTTCTATCGAATGAGATGCAGTTTGGTCAAGTTGGCTTGTCTTGCCTCAAGGTTGGCCACCGGAGCATGAGACGAAATTATTAGAACAGTTTATGCTCCTTAGGCCAGGATGCTTAGATTATTTATCTTTGTATCCTAAAGCTTAGCAACCACTGGACTTGCCCTACTATTCCTGGGATCTGACTGACAGTGAGTGGCCCAGGGCCAAGTGACCCCCACGAAACAATCAGCAGACCGCATCGAATGCACCTTGCCCTGCCGCAGTAAGCTGAAAGCGGAATGTGAAAAATGACCAAACTGATCCATGTCGGGTGCAACCGACTCGTTGCTAGCTTGCCCACAAGAGCAACATGGGTCTCAACTGGAGAGCTGGATTTCAACAGCCAGCAACCGCGTAATTGGTTTAGTGGTAAAATTCTCCGTTGCCATCCGGGTTTCATCAAGGAACTCGAGTAACATCGGGGAGCCCTGGGTTCGATTCCCAGATTACGCATTAACAAGCGCCTTGAAGCGCGCAATATCTTTTGCGATTAACATCTCTTTTTTGCAGTGTTTTGATGATATTCTGTGGTGTTGAACGTCGGTGATTCAATCACGTGGCTTGGGCGGGAACGGCACGCAGGAGGCACGTGTAAAACTTTATATTTTGGCAAAAGAGGAAGGAACAGGTCAAGAGGACATTGAAGAATGACAGATAATTTTTCTTTCAATGGGCATTTCAAGCCTTCAATTCATTGCTTGCCCAAGGTCGACTGTGCCAGGTTATGGGGTTCAATAACAATACGCAAAGAATGAGTACAGGGTATTGTCCTGCATTTTGGGCGAAGGGCTTTACAAAGGAGAAAGCAAATCCACAGACTGGGTAACAATTTGTCAAGACAATACTACACATACAGTCATTTGAGAGTATTGTGATTTCCAATGTTGGCTTTTTTTTTCTTTCTCGCTTTGCAGTTCACACATGCAGTATCCTTTTGGTGGTTGGTACAACTTTAATGGCAATTTTGCACACATGCAGTGCTGTCTCGTCAAAGGCCATGTCCCTTACGAGATTCCAGCTTAGGCTTGACTGGCCTAGATCAACCATGGGAGCTAAGCACAATCAACATGAGATGTACGGGGCGCACAAATGGAAAACAAAAAGTGCAAAAATATGCGAAAAATGATTCTCCTGTGTATCACAGGTGGCGGTCTCTCCCGCCGGGAATTGAACCCGGGTCTCAAGCGTGACAAGCTTGCATACTGACCACTATACTACGGAAGATTAGACGGCTGAAGCCGGCTGTAGCTGGTGATTTTTGATGGAGAACGAGCAGAGCAACGGGGTATATGTACCCTTGTTATTCTCAGCTACAGGTAAAAATCTTTCCACCTTCTTCATCAGTCACAAACAGGAATTTCAGAATTAGTTGATACAATCAGTAAATTCATAGCATTATTACACTCGTATTGATATCCAAGTCAATTATCACTCAGGCCTCACCCCAGATCTCATCGGCAATCTCCCTAACCAGCGCCAACTTCTTCTTCTCCTCGTCAAGGTTAAGAGGATATCCACTTTCATGCGTACTGAATCCACATTGGGGACTGACAGCGACCCTCTGCAGAGCCTCCTTTTGGCTCTCACCACTACCCTTGGCGACCCAATCGGCCGCACTCAAAACTCTCTTCTTCATCTCCTCCTTATCCTCAAGCTGAGGCAACTTGGTGCTGATAACACCGACAACGACACTCTTGTTCTTGGGGAGGAATTCCAGAGGCTCAAAACCGCCAGAACGCTCAGTGTCGTATTCCAGGTAAAAGGTGTTGACGTTCAAGTCACGGAACAGCTTCTCAGCAATGATGTCGTATTTGCCCTCGGCAAAGTGACGACCGCCAATGAAGTTGCCACGGCAGAGATGGATACCAGTGTGCATGTCTGAGGGGATCTTGGACAGACTGTCGTTGTATAGCTTGATATAAGCGTCTAGAAGATCATCAACGGTGCCAATGTTGTCAGAGTCAGCAGCCCAGCCATCACGGAACTTTTGGCTGCAAAAGTCTGTTTTCGTTAGTGATATGCTCAGTCATTGGTCAGGTCAACTTACAAGCCATGCCGGGGTCATCGAACTGAACGTTTCGCAGACCAGCCTTGTATAGCATATCAAGCTCGGCTTGGTAAACCTTGGCAACGTCGGCAAAGTACTCTTCATCGTTCTTGTACGCCTCAGGAGCATAAGCCTTGCCCTGCTTATAACGCATGTGGAACCAAGCAGGAGTGATCATGGTGAGCTTGATGGAGCCCCATTGATCCTTTGGCACAAACTGCTGCACAAGCTTCAACTCGTGCAAGTTGGAGACAGACTTCTCAGGGTTGTGGGATAGCTTGCTGCCAGCAATGACAGAGTCGCCAGGCATGACCTGGCGATCCTTCTCGATCAGGCTCACCACGTCGGGATGGTACAGACGGAAAAGACTAGCCTCAGCATCCTGGAGCTGAGTGCTGCCCTCGAACTCATCCCACATGAGTCCCCAGAATCGAGTCCTGGTGAACTCGCCGCTAGTTACGGCCTTAAAGCGCAGCTCTTGCTGCATCTTGACAACGTCCTTGACAGCTTCATTCTCGACAGTTTCAAGACCTGCATTCTCTGGGGAGAGACCCTTTTCACGGATCTGCTCTCTTACATCGAGAAGAGCTTGGGGTCTAAGCAGGGAGCCCATGTGCTCAGCGCGGAAAGGTTGGAGAGGAGCCATATTGATGATGTTTCTTTGGGTACGAGATGATATTCAAAGGAGGGTGTTGATGATGTTTGAGATGTAAACACCCTTTTCAAGATGTCAGCACGAGTAATCTCGAATTGAGGGGCCCTTCTTTAAACAATGCGGGGCCCGTCATTATATATCGTGGGGCGGGGTTCAGAAAGAGAGCAGATGGCCGATGCTAAGAGTAAGATGGTTAACCGTATCCATTGGCCTTTTTCCGTATTCCCGAAGGATTCTCATATGAGTGAGATTATGGAGAGGGGTATCCGCCAAGATGGTAGGGCCAAGATCCCAAGCAGAGCTCATTGTGCATGTATGATGCAATGTATTGCATATGCCGTTGCATTGCAGGATGATCGGTTGTGTCGGTACGAGGCTGAACGCTCAAGTGATCACTCTCTGATGAGGGGAAGGTTACGATATTTATGCTCCTGGTCCGATGGGCCGATGCCTTGCTGAAGGGGAATTTATTGCAAATAACTTGCTGATATTACAGACCATGCATTCAGAAATGTTACGTACGTGGCTGGGCTTGAGAGTAGATGGTAGTTTGTTTCAAGGAAAGCTTCTAACTGTGGGGAGAATCGACGCTTGCAGTAGCTCTCAGCGGCTGGTAAGAAACACAACGTAGTATTTGGTAGTATTTTATTCTATCAAGCTGCCTTCAATTGAGTTCATAGGGTTAATACGTCGTAGTCTGTGGCAAAGAGTTCTTGATTCATATTCGATGGTCTCCTCGCTTTTGCTTTCTCAACTTCATTCCTTATTCAACTTTTTGCATATTTGCAACATTTTATCCAATCACGAAATGTTAAAATTGTTACAACAGTAATAGGAAAATGAAACACTACAACTTCTTCGAGGGCACCTCAACGGGTTGCGATACCATCATACGGATGCTCAATGAAGATGACAAAGAGCTCAAAGACGAAATGACCAAAAACTGGCGGAACCATAAACTAGAGGAACTAAACTTTGTCGGAACACTTGTATGTTTTGAACACGTCCTTCTTATCTCTGGCTAAACAAACTTTCTTCTGAGGAAAGGGCGCTCTTCTCGCAAGCTGCCTCAGCTCCACAAGTTCGTGGCCAGATGTTCTCCCCAACGGAAAGTCCAAGCCATGGCTAGTACGTGGACTCTTGTACAGCGGCCTTGTTCTTGCCCTGTTTTCAGTCGTCACTGCTGGCGTCCAGAGTATGAGACTTCATCGACTCTCAGCACATCCCGACGGTCTTGAGAAGATACGAAATAGTCTGGGCAGAAGAAGACGATCCGACAATAAAGCTCTACCTAGTTGGCTTCACGTTTACGCGTGGGAGTTTAGTCTTGCCTTTCTGGTATTGGCTGTCTTGTGCATGGTTGTTGGTCTCACGATTTTGATATGGGCTGCCGCTGCGTATGGGCCTTGGAAGCCTGAAGTTGCTGAGTGGTGGGATGGAAACGCCAAGGTGAGTCACTCTTTCTGTACAACTGGCAACTTTACTGATACATGGAACCTTCCAGATGGCGGTACTCTTCACATGCATTCTGGGTCTTGCAGTGGTGTTCCTCATTCTATCACAGGGCGCTCTGTCGAAAGGTAATTTCTTCAGGATATAGTGACTGACTGCTTTTGCCTCGTCAACGTATCCACAACTTATCAGTAGGCAGGGAACTCGTGTATATAGAAGAATGTTGATACGGAGATTGGGTTATTTTGAGTTTTATTCTAAAAAGTTAACACTTGTTGACTCGGAAATTCGAGTAAATATTCTATTTTCTGGTGGCGATGCGTGAGTTGCAAAACCTAATACTGAATTCTTATTGACGGAAGGTCAAGTCCATGCGAGTACCTATAAAAAGCTGTGAGACTTGCCACCCACCTACCACTGCTCCTTCCTTCAGCACAACCAAAGAAAACCCCAACCAAATTCTCAAGCTGCTAGCAAACCTGCCCAGGTCTCTCTCCTTCATACCACAACACATGTTGACTTAACAAACAGGCTATTCACAGTTTACAGTCTACCTACCCACAAACATGACATCTCCGGATTCCCGACTATCCAGGTCGAAACCGACAAGTATTGTGACTCCCAGCTTTGGTATTCTATACAGCTACTGACACACTTCTCAGCAATGGAAGAAGTATCATATCCTTTTTTCGTCTACGGCACCCTCAGAGCCTTGCCTTTGCTTGCCCATGCTCTAACTGGAGATTCCAAAAACACCCTCGTCGTCACCACAAATATGGTACCATCCAGAGTTCCCGGCTACTCGCGTTGGGGCATCGAAAACCACGATTTTTCAGGCGCGATCGAAGATCCATATGGCTCTGTGGATGGACTGCTGCTACAATTGTCACAGGCTCACCGCGACAGGCTGGAAAGCCTTCGAGGGCCATTGTTTGCGACAAAACATGTGATGGTGTCTCTTCAAAGTAACATGCATGTCGGCGCAGAGATGTGGGTGTTTAGAGGTCCTTCCGAGATGCTCTCTAATAAGCCTTGGTCTTTTGACAACTTCTTCCACAACGTACTTCCAACCTGGCCCCTAGAAGGACCTGCAGAGACCAGTCACCGTAGAGCCTGAAAGTCCTGTGTAAGCACTGGAGTCATAGTGCTTGAAAAGTGTGATATAAGATGGAAACCTTATCATCAGGTTACGGATGGGATATGTGCATCTCACAGTTCTCAAGCATGGTGTCCTCAGGGTACCAGAAAAATTAGCCGCTAAAAGCATAAGAGACGAAATTAGTAGATCAGCTTATGCTA